CATGGGACCCATGGCGCCACTGCTTCGACCTTTACATTGCTGTCAAACCTTGTAGTCGACACTCTGCCATTGCTAACTCCTTGAACGTTGCATTTGCAAACTTGTCTGCAATCCGACTAAAACTGAGGCAATCCGTTTCTATTCTCGGTAAACGAATCGTTTAAAACTGTTTCCACATTGAATACACAAGCCTTGTTTGTAGAACAACAGCCAAACATGAGACACAAAGTACGTTCAAAGATGAACTAAATTCCAAAATGATCATCGGTCTTAGAGCAAGTTTAACTGTAAGACCCAATGATCATTTTGGAATGTAGTTCATTATTAGTCCATATTTAGTCCAAGATTAATAACAGGTACCTTGGTGGACTTTGTTTGTTTTTGTTTTTGTTTTTTTGTTTGTTAAACTTTATTGAGTACAAATTAATTCAACAAATATTCATCTAACATACAATTAAAGAGCTGTACTCAAACGGACAAGGCACAAACTGGACGTAAAGTCCATTGCATGGTGCCCCTCCTCTTCCTAACATAAACCTTTTAATTCGCAGTATACTGTATAGAGGGTGTCCCAAAAAAACCAAAACCACTGAAACAACGCACTGCCAGAATCCGAACGCCTCAGCACCAACTGAACGCAAAGATACGTAAATATGATCGACATGATGCATATAATATGAGTACTGAAGAAATTAAAATATCTTTGTAAGCTCACGATTATCTGCTCTTTGGAATTTAAAGCAACTTCTTAAACAGTTTCTTTATTCGTAAAATTTACTTTTGTCAAGCTTTTATGCACTTGTGGGTTCAGCAGAGTGCTGAGGCATTCAAATTCCCAAGCAACACGCCATCTCAACAGCCTTGGTCCCCTTTGGGGCACCCTGTATAACATATTTACTTCATAAACATTAATATTATACATGCACATTACATTAATATTATGCATGGATTCATGCATGGTTGCCATTGTCCATGTCAGCAATCTTCAAACCTGGTCTTTGATGGAAGGAAGGACAATAGTACCACTGCCAAAATTAATAACTGGCACCTTGGTGGACTCATGGTTGCCGTTGTCCACGTCAGCAATCTTCGAACCCGGTCTTTTTATAGAATTAGGAAGGACAATAGTAACTATGGTCCTTCCTTCTATCGAAAGGCCGGATTTGAATCCATACCTATTGGTTTTCAACAACGTGCCCACCACTATCAAAGTGTCAAGTTATCAGAAGCACAAGTCTGACGTATCCTAAAACATCCTTCCATAAAGTGACTTGTATTTCGTGAAATTATACAAATTTTGCAGTCTGATTTTATGATTAAATTTAACGCGACTCAAAAGTACGAAGTGCAATATAACAGACTACCTCCATACCATAAAGCGAATCCAATAGTCTATCGTTTCTTTCAATTGTTGACAAACGCTCCACAACGTTGACTTAATTAAAGTGGCACTGTCATTAAAATTTTATTTTCTTAAACGAAGCTAAATGCTCTTAAGGTGGTTCGTTATCACAAAAACCCTGCTCAAGAATCGCGAACTCAAAACCGGGTGACCATTTTTACGCGCGGGTCGCGGAAACTGATTAACAAAATGAAAGAACTTCCAGAATGACCTGACGTGAGCAATTGCTCGCGCCATATCAGGCCATTGCGCGTGTTCTATAGCGTTTTATGTCAATTGCTGACGTCATTAGAATTTTCCATTTTAGAAAAACAATGCGCTATCTCTCTTTATTTTGTCGGGTGACCTATGTTCAAATTTTGCATGCTGTATTGCACCGCTAAAAACGTTCATTATACAAAAAATTACTTTGGAATCGCTATTGCTTGAAGTTTTAGATAAGCTGGATCCGAAACAGTTCTCTTTGCCCAAGAAGTCAACAACTCCAGCGTTGGTTTATCTTATGCATCAGATCCATGCTGGACTTGACAAAGGTCAATGTTCAGCTCGAGTTTTCTTCGCAGATTTTAAGATGGGATTTGATTTAGTTGATCACAATGTCATTATTACTGACTTTGAAAGGCTTGGCGTCCATCCCGTTATTATACGCTGGATTAAATCATTCTTAACTGACCGAGAACAGTGCGTTAAGATAGGTGACTTTCCTAGTATTTCCAGCATTGTTCAATGTCTACATGAAGTTCCTCCATGTAGAGGAACTTCATGTAAAGATTGTCCAATACTGGTCTGAAGAAGTGGATAATAGGATCAAGACGTCGCTTAGCTTCAATTGAAAATAGCCAAGTACTAACATTAGGGGGAAACAACATTAAGCGAGTTTACCAAAAAAAGTCACTAGGCATGATCCTTGACGACCAGCTAAAATGGAATAAACATAATGAAATGCAATGTAAAACAATTTCAAATAATATCGCCCTGCTGAAAAGAGCAAAATTGTTTGTCAATAGAGATAGTCTGATAAAAATCTACAATGCCTTAGTGTGGCGTCATTTCAATTATTGTTCAACAATCTGGAATGATGGATGTTGTTCGATAATTGATAAATTGTTTATATACTGCAGAAGAGAGCAGCGCGTGTGATAACAGGGGACACATACGAGGTTCGTTCCATGCAAACGCTAGATAGTCTTAATTGGCTTCCAATAGAAGAACTTCTAAAACAACGACAGTTAATAATGACATTTAAAGTACTAACTGGTCGATTACCTCGATACCTTGAAAAATTGTTTTCAGTAAGTCAAAATGACAATTACAATCTAAGAAGCAATCAAATTAAATTGAACCTACCCAAACCTAAGACAAATTTTCTCAAACGAAGTTTCTCGTATAGAGCTGCTAAGTCCTGGAACGAACTTCCAAGTGAAACTATTGAAAATTATAACAATCTTTCAACTTTGTCGTTTAAACGGCAATTACTTAATTCATCCGTATCAATTCATTGTAAATAGTTATATTCTTTTTGTCCTTTTTATATTATTGTTGTAAACACACGGCCCTTTGAAAACCAGCGCTGTAAATATTATCTGCTGAACAGGCTACCGTGTTTAAATAATTTTATTAAAGATTAAAGATTAAAGTAGAAAAGGAAGAAAAACTAGCAAAATCTGCTCATGTAAATATTCCTGTACATCTTTCCATAAAGTAACTCGTATTTTGGCAGACAAATTGTAATTATATAAATTGTGTCTCATTTTATGATGCAATTAATTTCATCCTATCAGAAGCCGCGACAGCATATCGAAAGTGGAAGGACATTGGCCAAAAGAGGCGCTTTTGGGTATACAGCTATTTCAATTAAGGTTGTCCCCGAGCAAAGCGGAAAAGTCGAATACGAGCGCGAAAGGCTTGCTGGGAATAGATACACAACATTTACTGATATACCATTATATATGTTGTATTTTAGTAAATGACGTCACATGGTTTCAAACAAAATGAAGTACATGAAATACCTCAAGAACAAACCATGGGAGCCAATTTTTTACAAAAAGTTACCTCACTGTTTAGGAGTTCGTTCGTTCGAGACCACAAAATTTTCAATGACAGTGCCATTTTAATGACATCATTCGACATAATTTTTAGAGTAAAAAAGAAACCAAAGACAAGGAAGTGAAGGCCATAAAAAAAAATAAAGCGGTAAATATTACATTCACTTAGTGAAATTTATCATTTATACACCTGGAGCAAAGGGGATACGGCGAAATATTACACGAAGTGATGGTATTTCCCGAGGAGATTTGCCCCAAGGGAAATATCATCACTCGGATGATATTTCCCCAAGAAAAACATCATCACTAAGGGTAATATTTCGACGAATTCCCCATGCAGAGGGTCTGCAAAAGATATTATACACAGAAAATTAACAGCCTCCAAGTTCACAATATAAAACTTACCCCATGCATACATTCGTTAAATAATACGATTTTTTATGAACGCAATTATTTTGCCACTCTTCACAAGAAAATTTTTCAAAAAACATTTTCTGAAATTAAAAAAACCCCGTAATAATTCATCACTTCTTAGTATACTATATGTGAATAATATCACCAGGGTGATATGACTGAAATCACCCGCTGCATCAAATACGATGACGTAAGGCGTGTTTCGATGATACATTTCATGCTCACGTGGCACAAACTTAGCTTTCTGATTGGAAACTTTGAATTTGAGGTATAACATTATTTGATATCTAAACTATTCACCTCCCATTCTTTCGTTCCAAAATTTGCGCACCATAGGTTTACCAGATGTCAGATGAGGAATCTATGGCACAAATGGAGGAATGCCATATAGACATTGAGAAATTTTGGTCCGAAGAAGTAGAGAAGGAAGAAAAACTAGCAAAATCTGCTCGTGTAAATATCCCTGTACATCTTTCCATAAAGTAACTCGTATTTTGGCAGACAAATTACAATTATATAAGTTGTGTCTCATTTTATGATGCAATTTCATCCTATCAGAAGCCGCGGAACCATTTCGAAAGTGAAGGGGGCATCGGCCAAAAGGGGCGCTTTTGGGTATACAGGTATTTCAATTAAGGTTGTCCCCGAGCGAAGCGGAAAAGTCGAATACGAGCGCGAAACGCTTGCTTGGAATAGATACAAAACATTTAACAGTTATTCTACGAACTCGAGTCGAATATGAGCTCATAGCCGATGAGGCGCGTAGCGCCGAATCGGCTATCGCTCATATTCGACGAGAGTGAGTGGAATAACTGTTTTATTATATACACAAGGTCTGAATTCACAGACTTTGCTTTTCGGATATTTTCAATATTTTTCTATTTTGTTTATGTTTTTATCTTCGCTCTTTCGGCTGATTATTTTTTCAAAAATATATATTTTTAACCATTTTAAATTTTAAAAATTTATTTGCTAACCTGAAAACAAATTG